ACAACCCTTTCTGAGCGCTGATTGGCTAAAATACGAACACGAGATCACCTGGCAGTCCAATGTATACGCTGATTGGAATGGATAACACCACAACACAAGCGACTGCTAGCAAGCAACTAGAAATATTTTTCAAAGAAAACGTCTTTTTCATTGTGACTTCTCCTGACGACTAGGAACAGTTTGTAGTTAATAAAAAACATTGTAGGGATGAAGAGAATACAAAAAATTACACCATGCACTTGATAGGAAATGAGAAAGTCGTTTACAGACATTGCTCTCAAAATTGCTTCGACGATGATCACCATTGCAAGAAGAGTTAAAAGTCTTCCCTTCGTTACCGATGTTCGATGAAAGATAGGATAAGATGTCGCCAAAAATCGTTCGAAATTCATCACCAAAAGAGCGTATAATGAAAATGCAGGGAACATACTTGTCGCGTTTAAGGAAATATGAGCCCATCTAGCATTTACGTCCAACTTGCCCGTCAACCATAGCGGCACGATAAGGGCCACCAATGGACTATTTGTCATAACCGCGAGCAAATCGCAACAGGACAAAACCATTATCATGAAATAACATAATTTCTTTCGAAGTTGTACGGATCTCCAAATACTGAGTATGACCAAGGAATTTAAACATATTCCTGAGAAAAAGAAGAATACGCTCAATGCAAATATGAATATCAGGTTGATAGAATAACTCGACTCCATCTTCAAGCGACTTTTTCTGAAGAATAAAGCATAACATTAACGCAGTTGTGTTTTAAGCTTCAGATACATGAGCAATTACGGCGGTCTAACGCAACGGTTGAAACGACTATCGCATTCAGCGCTCAGACAAGGTGGCTACACCTGTATTCAATTTGTGGCAATGAGATACTAAAACGAAACACTCCTCCCAATTTTCGACAATAGTTGCCGAAAATAAGATGGTTTGAAATTTTGCCGAGAGCGGCAACTACAGAAAACAAAATTAAATAAATATAAATGCATTTTAGTATTCAGTCCAAAGCATACATTAGTCATTACTAAACTTTATTTGCATGCCTATTAAAGATACTTATCTTTCTTTTAATATTTACACCGAAAAGTGTTCATCTTTATCTAACATTTACATCGAACTTTCCTGCCGGCTATAGCATCGCGATAAGCTACGGGACACAGGAAGAATCATTATCATGAAATAACATCTCCAGAAACTGAGCATGACCAAGGAATTCAAACATATTCATGAAAACATGAAGAATACGTTCACAGCAAATTTGAATTTGTGGCAATGAGATACTAAAACGAAACACGTCTTCCAATTTTCGACAAGTGTTGCCCAAAATAAAATGGTTTGCAATTTTTCCGAGAACGACAACTGCAAAATACAAAATTAAGATAGATCGATAGATAGATAGAATTAAATCAAAGCGTAAATTACAGTTGATATAACTGAATTGCTTACTAGTATTTACAATTGAATTATTTCATACAAAGAACTAACTATATTTACAATAAAAACTATAGGCTATAATTGACACGAAATAAAGTTAAGAATTTATACACTTATACTATTAGATATAGTGAAGGAGTTCTTAAAACGCTCTGTTCGAAACTTAGAGACTAGAAATTTATGACATTTCCTTAAGGGATATGTACACCCGTTTTCCTCTGGGATCATTTGATGTAGTTTATGCTTGGTGTCCAAGTGTGCTTGAAGGAAAAGTGTTTTACATGATGCTTCTCTTCTGTTTCGTATAAGGGTTCTAGATTGGCTAAGTCGAGCGTCTCTTCATAAGAGCTTTCAGGAAATATCCTTCTTAAACACCGTCTTTGGATCCTTTCGATATCTGAACTCAGGTACTGCGGTAGGGAGTTGTGGAAATCAGGCGAAGCATATTCTAGCGTCGAACGAATACAGGCGCAATATACTTGGATCAAATCTTTGACAGGAACTTGCGCTCTTTTTAATTGTGTTATTAAATGTAAACGTTTGCTAGCTTTTGATATAATGTTATCGATATGCATTTTCCATTTAAAGTCATTGTTGACGGTAAGACCAATGGTTTTTGCATAACTAACAACTTCGATTTCTTTGTGGTTAATGAAAATAGGATGGAGAGAGGTATCTTCAGTTGGTTCTCGTGAGAAATCGATTCTTAATTCTTTGCACTTCTCCTCATTTAATTCAGCCATATTCGAAATTGCCCACGCTTGTACTGCGTCAACTGATTCCTGGATACGACTTTGATCTTTTTTAGAAATTGTTTCAGACAAGGTTGTGTCGTCCACATATTTCCATAGACTTTCACAAGATGTTGTTGTTGGTGTAGTTAAGTCGTTGGTCATTAAAATGTACAGCCACGGGCCGAGCTTTGTTCCTTGTGGTACCCCTGAGCGAACGTTACTCCAGTCGGAGAAACTACCATTGTTTAATCTAACCCTTTGCTTCCGATTAATTGGGAAATCGATAATCCAATTAGCTATTTGAGGTGAAACGTCGAGGGATTTCAATTTAAGAATCAATTGATTATGATCAAGCAGATCAAGTGCTTTTCGGAAATCAAACAGTACTATGCGAACCAAGTTCCCACCGGGCACACGACGTTGTTTCAACGTTGAAATTTGGTAGAAAAAAGTTGCGACGTCGACAACCTAATATCTACGTTGCTCTGACGTTGTTTTACAAACATTGGTTCAACAGCAGCCAACAGACGTTAAATTAACGTTCATTCATGGTTAAATGTACGACGTCGATTTGTGAACCAATCTCAACGTTATTCTAACGTGGATTCAACATTGAATTATGGTTGACGAGATTGGCAACCTAATTTCAACGTTGTTTCAACGTCGAAACAGTAACGTCGATCCAATTTGCATAGTCAACCCTTTTTCAACGTCTATCCAACGTCTGGAAGGTCATTTCCAACGTTGATTCAACGTTGGATAAACGTCATTTTGCCTGCTGGGTATATTTCTGTATATTTCTGTATATTTCTGTATATTTCTGTATATTGATGTATATTGATGTATATTGATGTATATTTCTGTATATTTCTGTATATTTCTGTATTTCTGTATTTCTATATATTTATATATTTATATATTTATATATTTATATATTTATATATTTATATACTTATATATTTATATATTTATATATTTATATATTTATATATTTATATATTTATATATTTATATATATATATATATATATATATATATATATATATATATATATATATATATATATATATATATATATATATATATATATATATATATATATATATATATATATATATATGCAAAGTTAGTCATGCATAATTAACATATGCAAAGTTAGTCAGTCGAAAAACAATGCGACCATACTGTAAGCTATTACGTTTTGATTACGAATGTTCTCTCCTCAGAGGTTAATTGAACCATGTATATTATACAACCTTATTAAATTATTGTCTCACTAAGACGAGAAGATTGACGAGTTGAGCTCATTTTAGATAATTTAACATTAGATTTTAATTCCCTCTTTGGAATTGTCTATGTTTCGTTTTCCATGCAATTCCCAACAACCTGCAATTCTTATATGACGAGTATGTGGCCATCATTACGATTTAAAATGTGTATCAATGAAAAGCTAAATAACTGTTGTTTCGTTCTACGTAAAAATAATTGACTTGATATTAGCTACTATATATTCATATAAATATATATATATATATATATATATATATATATATATATATATATATATATATATATATATATATATATATATATATATATATATATATATATATATATATATATAGCCCGCGTGCAGGCCCAAGGGAACTGATAGTGGGCCTGTAAGCAAGGCCCGGTATTTTGTAAAACGCCCCTTTTCATAACACGCCCCATTCGCGCGTCAATTGTCAAAAAAGAACCAATGACAGCACCCAAATATTAACACACAAACTCGCATTAAAATGTTGCGGGGTTTTCTCTGCTTATTCAGAACACTAATAAACAATGTGTAAATGGCTGCGTTTTAACTCCAAAAAAGCAAGCAACGCAGTCAGTAATTGCCAAATTTGTAAGTGCTCATTTTCAACTAAAATCGGAACAGGCAAATTAGGACGAATTTCAACAGAAAACCAGTCTCAAACTTCAAATCATGAGGGAAGTCGTGCGACCACATTAGGATTTATATTATGTGTGTTTCGCTGTCGCCATTGGCATTGTTATAAATAAATTGTCTCACTTATCAGATCGTGTGTGCAATTCTTGTTGGCGGCGGAAAGTACGAAATTTATTTCATTTGGTAAAGAACTCTACAAAAGAAGAGAGCGTTCCGAGTCCAGATCGTTTCGTTTCAAACGGCAATTTAATACCGCCTTCTGTTTCGCTCTCTCTGCGAAGCCTTGTAAATCGCAAAGTGTTTCGAATAGGCTTACAGTCCTTACATGCAACTGCATCTCAACATCAACCAAAAAATAATTTTCTTGAGGAAGTGAGAACACATAACGTATCAACTGAAGTCTGTTTGAAATTAATGAAACTCAAGTAAAGGTTACTATAGTTTACCCCAGTCGTAATTTGCTATTCCAACACCTCACGACAAGCAATCCCCATTGGCATAACGGCAAAAACATGTCTTCCTTCAAGTAAACAATAAACAGTCTGTTCTTGTTCCATTTGTAATCGAAAAAATGGATCAATTTTCAAATTTTAAGCTTATCGAGAGCCTTTGTCTATGCCTTTGTGATGAATCACTGTTCCCTTGGGCCTGCACGCGGGCTAGGTTAATTAATTACTGATCGCCTCAGCTAGCCAATGGGAATTTAGCCGGCGGTTCGGCCGGCGAAAATCGAAAACATGGGGTGATGGTTGCAGGCCCACTATCAGTTCCCTTGGGCCTGCACGCAGGCTAACCTGAAATTGAAGCTTATATTACGTACTAGAAAATACATGCATGCAGAAACCCTCGTCTTGCAGACAAAACCATTGTATTTTCCGAACATGAAGTATCTAAGTTGTCATGGTAACACGATAATTTTTTAAGAATATTCTTACAAATGAAAAATCGCTTATAAATATCACTTTTAATCACAAAATTACTAATTTCCCAACATATATATGTTAGGTATGTTATTATACGTAATATAAGCCCCGATTTAAGGTAAAGTTCAACCACAAACGCTTCGCAAAGCGTTTTAAAATCGTTAGTGTTCTTTAATATAAAACTATTAAACTGCCTTTTAATGAAGTTGAATATGTTGGAAAGAGACAGATAGTTAAAATCGAACAACTGGCCACTAAGCAGGACAACAATAACTTGAAACACATTTTGTGGCATATATTTTGGGCAGAGAAGTGCTCGAAAACAGTTCCGGCCGAACTGTCTAGAGGCTCTCGCTAACCTAAGTTTTATCTAGAGAAACAGGCGAATCTCTAGACTGCAGAGGGCATGCTTGACTCTGTGCATGTCGTTCAGCGAGTTGAGACCTAGTTGGACTGGTGAACAACTATTGGTATAGGGCACATTACCCAGGGTACTCAAAGCTGGCTGAGGATACACGCAAAAACTGTAGGTTGTTCTAGAGGAACAGGCGGACCTCTAGATAACAGGGGAACAGGCGAACCCCCGTTCAGATCCGTCAGGCCGTCGACATTGAGACCTAGTTGGACTGGTGAACAACTATTGGTATAGGGCACATTACCCCGGGCCGCAACTGATAACCTGACTGACCACATCGAGTCTCTAGGACTGCTCATTCAGGTCTTCAGTGCGACCTGAATGAGCAGTGATTGCGCTTCACGTGGTGAAGTGTTGTCCATCGGACAGCACTTCCCTGCCAGTAATTAAATATTTATTGCATTTTTTTTTTTTTTACACAAGTGGGTTACAAATCTATGAGTAACATGTCTAACTATATACAGGAATGTCCATTTTTACTAGTTAACAGTCCTTACAACACGCCATTGTAGAGACGCAGATTGGTGTACATGATTATTGGGAGGTGGGTGGGTTTTTTTCCAAATTTTCACTTCTTTGCCAAGGTTTTTATCCCTTGAATTATAAACTAAAAATTTTGCCAGAGATGTTAACGCACTGGCTAAAGTCTTGAGAATGAACAAAGCACGTCGAAACTGCGATCAAAAGTTCTTGCGCAAAAAGGGGGCATTGTATGTATGCACGTGAAGGAAAACCTTCAGGATAACTTCTGATTGGTTAATCTCAAGTTTGCATCAGTTGTTCACATGCTTAGTAGCCAAAGTTCGATTTTTATCTGATATTTTGTAATATTAACAGGACTAGAAAACGGTTCCCTTGTTCTGCCAAGGTACTTGGACCTTGTACGTACCTTGCACGGATTGATTTTGTGACGCAGATGTGTTGGCAGACAGAGAACACCCTCGGGCAAATGGAGTCTTCTAGAACATATTACTCCATTAACCGCAATTTATAGCTTTGCTTAAATTGATTATTTAATGAAGTTGAATATGTTGGAAAAGAGACAGATAGTTAAAATCGAACAACTGGCAACTAAGCAAGACAACAATAACTTGGAACACATTTTTGTGGCATATATTTTGGGCAGAGAAGTGCTCGAAAACAGTTCCGGCCGAACTGTCTAGAGGCTCTCGCTAACCTAAGTTTTATCTAGAGAAACAGGCGAATCTCTAGACTGCAGAGGGCATGCTTGACTCTGTGCATGTCGTTCAGCGAGTTGAGACCTAGTTGGACTGGTGAACAACTATTGGTATAGGGCACATTACCCAGGGTACTCAAAGCTGGCTGAGGATACACGCAAAAACTGTAGGTTGTTCTAGAGGAACAGGCGGACCTCTAGATAACAGGGGAACAGGCGAACCCCGTTCAGATCCGTCAGGCCGTCGACATTGAGACCTAGTTGGACTGGTGAACAACTATTGGTATAGGGCACATTACCCCGGGCCGCAACTGATAACCTGACTGACCACATCGAGTCTCTAGGACTGCTCATTCAGGTCTTCAGTGCGACCTGAATGAGCAGTGATTGCGCTTCACGTGGTGAAGTGTTGTCCATCGGACAGCACTTCCCTGCCATTAATGACAATCTACACGAAGTATAGGTTGTCATTTCCGCCACGGGAAGCAGCACAAAGTCAACCGGGTCGGCAATAAAGTGAAAAATGGGTGGATAAAAATAAACTGCATGGCAAGGAAATAGCGAGACTTTTTTTTTTTTTTTTTAAATAATTTTTCTTTGCGTTTATAGCATGTCAATGTAAGGCAGATTCGTTAAGCGTTTAAACTTTTGTGGTTGTTTTTATTTGGAAAAACTAGTTACAGACCCGTTTCAGTTCATTGCCGACGCGGCCAAGTCCGGCTACGACACGCTTATAATTATTAGCCGGTCATGTGGACCGTTAACGCAAATTCAATGGATCTGTTTGCATTATGAAATCGCGGTATGAATGACCAACCCTCCATGAAGTACGCGAAAAGGATCCACATAACCATGCAAGCTATACCACTAACAGCTAAAGTAAATATAATAATTAACAGAGTGGACTTAGACCTTTTGGTTTGTATTTGCAATGAGTTTTGATGTTACAGACACTAAAACGTCCCTCGGAGTTCTTATATACCTTTCATAACAATCTGAGGACCAGCGTCCAAGAGTCTTTATTAGCCAAGTAGGGAGTCCTGCTGAACCAGCTGCTGTAGCTGCTCCAATTCTGAAGCTATGTGAAGCATACAGGGTTTCGTCTAGTCCTTGCTGCTGAAGTAAACTGCGTAGATGTGAAGTTAGTGTTGCACGGGTGAGTGGAGCTCCAGATTCAAACTGAAAAAGAGGTCGACTTTCGGGGATGGAAGGTGTTTGGAGTAAATAATTCTTCATTGCTCGTACAGGGCAGAATTCATTAAGCGATGATCCAATTGTTAAACGGCATCCACGGCGAAATGGGTCAGTTTTTGAGCGTTTGATGATGACGTCAAATTGTTCTGCATTCAAAATGTTCGGGTAGAAAATAATGCCAGTTCTTGAAAGGTGGTATTCAGGATCAAACGGGGAATTACAAGTAAACTCACTGCACCGCAGAAAGCCGAAAAAGGCTAAAGTAAAGGCAGCCCAGAGCATCACATTGTCTATAGAATCTGTAAACTGGGGACGTAGTGCACGATGAAGACATGCGAGTTCTTTAAAAGTGATGGGCCGACGATCTCTCGTTTTTTTCACCCTTCAGGCATTTCAGACCTTTTAGGCATTTTTCTAATAGTTGCATGGTCCCCATATTGAATGGCACTTGGAAAATGACGTGCAGATAAGACACGCTGGCTAGATACGTTTTGACAGTTGCATAAGAAACTGATTGGGACAAATGTCCAACAAAGTAAAGTAAAGTAATTTCAGTCGCAGGCAGCAGAGGTGAACAAGGTGTCACGATCCCTTTTTCGAGACAAAAAGAAATAAACCGTTTAATACCGGCTGCGTATGTTTGTTTTGTTGAGGTCGCCCAAGAATGTTGAATTAATTGATAGACACGGTCTCTTAGGTTTGAATCATTGATGACGGGATGACGCAAGGCAGAGGAGAGGCCAACGGTGCTAATTGCTTGAAGCGGTCCATCTGAAAACGAGAGAGCGAGTCAGCAATGCCATTATCGATTCCGCGCACATGTTTAGCGGTAAACGTAAAATTATTTGTTAGCGTACAAAGGACAATTGGTCGCAGTAAATCCATTATCTTCGGACTTTTCGAGGTTTTTTGATTAAGAACTTGAACGATGGACTCGTTGTCACAGAAAAACACAATGCGTTTAGATGTCCACTGGGATCCCCAGAGACAGCAGGCAAGATAAATTGGATAAAGTTCTTGCCATGCAATCGAAAGACCGGTTTTTTGGTTGATATTTTGTTCCGGCAGCCAAAGGCCTTGGAACCATTGCCCTGCTAAATAACCACCGAAACCTATGGAACCAGCTGCGTCGGTATACAGTTGAAGTGTTGGCGATGGCGTCTGTTCGGACTCAAGAAAAAGACTAATACCGTTCCAATGTTTTAGAAA